CCTTCTTCGAGATCTCATTAACCTTCCGGAAATCTAAACAGAACCTATACTTTCCGGAAGGTTTCTTCACCATCACTATTGGATTGGACCATTCACTAAAAGAGGGTTCGATTATTCCGCTCGTTAGCATTTTATCAACTTCCTCGCGCACGGCGTCTTGTATTTTCGGGGATACAACGTAACACCGTTGTTTGATCGGTTTCTGTGCCCCGACGTCAATACGGTGTTCTGTCAGGGTGGTTACCCCCGGGTTATCGTTTGGAACTATCACCGCTTCTTTCAATACGCTCTCTATCTGTGCGCGTTGGGAGGAGTTAAGCTCGGGTAGCCCGCTACAGGCGTGTTCGGACGGCTCGGTAGCATTAAAACGGTACCTATGTGAGGGACTTCGCGAGAAGAACCACTCGGATTTGGCTAGATCTAACCCTATTCCAAACTTGCACAAAAAATCCATCCCTAGGATGCACGAAACTGCCAAATTGGGTAATAATCCCACGAAAAGGGTGTGTTCTATGCCGCCTAACTTGAGTGGTACCTCGCTAACCTCGTCTATTTTCGCCACTTGGCCATTCGCCGTCCGGATTTTTCCGCCTCGGTATCGCGATATTGGTAATCTGAGAGATCGCACGAGCTTAATTCCCTCAGTCCCTATCAGCGTTCTACTCGAGCCTGAGTCGACAAGAGCCCTCAATGGTCGTCCTTTTATATATACTTCGAAATATTGCAACGGGGGAAATTCGGTATCGTCTAAGGTCACGTATGATTCTATACTCCCGGTGCCTGTAATCTCTCGAGTCCGTTCCTTTTGAGCCGATAGGACCCGATCTACCGACTCTCTCCCTCGTTTCCCGCGCAATTTGGACACGTTCGCGTCGTGTGCTGTTTCTTTCCGCACCGATAACAATGCAGATTCCGCGTCTGCGTACATTCTCGCGATCGGTGTCCCTTTTGTCCACAATTCCAACATTTCATGTCGGCTAATCGGCTATTCGCGGTGGGTGAGGAGGGTGTCGGGTCCGTACCCGCGTTATTCACGGCGGCCACCGGAGGCCTCTTCGACTCGGTAGCTTTCCCCCTCTTCTTGGGCGCGGTCGCGGGGACTGCGGCCGCGGCGACCGTTTTCGGGTGTCTAGGTGATCGCGATGCTCCCCTATACGCGAGTTCCGGAAAAATAGACCGCGTTGATGTCGGCTGTCTATCTAGATCGTAACATTCCTCGATCTGCGACGCGAGGGTTTCTAATGACCGAAAATCATAAATTTCGTTACGCCTCACAGCTATACGCAACCTCGGTATCATGTTTCTATGCGCGTAATTTAGCTGTTCGTTTAGCTGCCATGGGGGGTCTAATCGTTCGAACAAGGCCTGCATGCAGGTTATATAATCGGCGACGGGTTCGTCTTCCCTCTGCTTGCGTCGCATTATCTCGTCCCGCAAGGTGAATTGGAAGTTCGGGCATCCAAATCGCGCACGCCACGCGGCCTCGAATTGCCCCCAAGTACGCCAAAGATGTTGATTCAGACGAAACCAATGGGCCGCGGTGCCCGATAAAAAGAACGGCAGACATTTAAATATTTCGTCGTCATCTAGGGGAATTAATTGCCGCCCCTGCTCTATACGAATGAGGAAGGCCTCCGCCTCCCCGTCGCGCGCCCCGGAAAAATTTAAATTCCACTTTCGCATTACGTTATACGCGTCCACGGCGAAATTCGGTTTTACGCGAGGGCGATACGGCTCGGGATTTCTCCGCGGCTCCGGGTGCGTCTCTGTTGGCTCTGGGGGATGCACCCTGATTCGCGGTTTCGAGGGCCACGCTAGGGCTTCGCCCCCAACAGCACCTTCCTCGGTATCCGACTCCTCGTCTGACGCTTCCGATATTTCAGGGGTCGGCATATGCTCTCGCCCTATTAATTGCGCGGCCTCGCATCTCAATAATCGAGCCCTAAGGGTGGGGAGGATCCCTTTGACGGACAGCTTTCTCTCCGCGAGGGCACACCTCACCTCCTCCTTTGATAACTTTCGAATCCACCGAAATTGTTCTTTTGTCGACATTTCGTTTTATGGTTAGTGACGGTGTGAGGGAAGTGAGATCTCGAAGGGGAAGATAGATAGTACGCGGACCGTGACCGGATTGACTAAACGTACGCTCCCTCCCTCTACTGTCTCGCCAACTAACTCTTTCTCGGTATCTTTGTGAGCGTTGCCTAAATTAGACACCGTCAATCCTCGATTACGCCGCTTGGTCACGATACCCCTCCGCCTAGAACCCGAAAATATGTCGCGAACGATATTCTATAAATTCCTAGTTAATAGGAAAGTCACTTATAGGCGTGAATATTCGGCGCGAATATCTCTTGAGGAGATAAAGAAGGGGCGAGAAGAAGAAAGAAGGAGAAGAAAAAAAAATTTCTATTCTTATTCCGAATTCGATAAACAGAAAGAAACTAACAAGTTCGCGAAAGGTAGCGTATGCGAGAAAGTGAGAGAGAAAAAAAAAATGTTCCTTTGTATACACGGACGTCTGTTACTGAGTCGAGTCTCGCTAAGGAATTTCGGGAATTCGCGTAAACATCTATTCACCAATATTCGTTCTTAGCTCTCGGTATCTTGACAATAATATCTGAGGACGCGATAATCCTTCAAGAACAATACGTGTTTACCCGCTTTTAGATTCGACTCGACGAGTGGTAAATATTTCCGCGAAGAGATCGAAAGGAAGAAAGAAGAAGAGAAAAAAAAATTTTGTCGCTCCTCAATATTATTCCCTATATTGGGACAAGAATATTTGCCGACTTTGTATCACACGAAAAACTCGGTATCAATCAGGTGCCTATAATTCACTCGATATATCAAAGAAAGTCGTAAAAGGCGTATGAGCGCGCTACCTTTGTAATACGATACTACGCGGTCGGGTTTACGATGCCGCGCGCGACAAAGAAACGTGTCGGTGGTCGCTCTCTGTCATACGCGTAGCGCTCCTCCTTACACGTGCACTTAACGCGATGGCACCTCAAATTCGGGTCTCCCTCGTTGTGACGGGAAGTCTCGAGATATCGAGACAAGCACAATGGGAACAATCTTAATAACGCGGGAACAATAATAATTGGGGACAAAGTAATACAAATGCATGCAATAAACAAAAGTCATCGACTGTATTAAGTCAAATAATACTCGGAGAATCTCCGACGGAGATCCCCGGCTCGGGCGAGACTCAAGTCAGCGCCCGATAGACAAAGAAAAAGGAAAGAAAAACAAAAGAGAAGTATTTCTCTTACCCTACTGTCTCTCCGTTACCCGAAACGACACGTATTATCCTTTATTAATTATCCTCTCTTTCGAGAGGCCCCACGTTGGGCGCCAAATTTGCGACCGTCTCTCCGTCCTCTCTCGTCAAACTAAGAGAGAGAGTGCGAGAGAGACTGCTGCGCAACCTCGTCGTGCCGCTCTCCGTTCTCTCGATACTTGCTCGGTATCACTGATTGCTCGGTATCGTATCCTTTTGGGCGCCAGGTGCGGTCAGGCCGCACCACTCAACAATGTCTCAACTAATAATCAGCGGCCACGACGGCTCGGCCTCGGTAGCTCGGTATCAACAGGGGGTAGAGTGTCGTGGTTCTTTCCGTAAGGAGATTCGGAATCGCAGTCCCGGAGAGAGAGAGGAAGTCTCGATATTGATTGTACTCAGAAATAGGATAAAATAAGAATATATTTTCAATTAATAGTATATAAGTGGTGTGAATCAAAATAGCTATAATTTTATTATCGAGCCGTTGGGAGATCGCTGGGTGTTATCGAAATCTCTAATTATCGTTACTCTCCTCCCTTTGTATCCGGCTCGGAATCGAAGGGATCATATACCAATCCAGCGTAACTTATTCTCAAATTTCGTTAATTAATGACTCGATACAATGCTACAAATATAATATACTACGATATGACTGTCGACTCGTTTCGGTGCCCCTCAGAGAGGCGAAGAAGGCAAAGATTTACGCAATAACTTAATGACGCGGAAATCGACGTGAGTCCCGTGAGTCTCTCAACTAATTCTCGGTACTAAATTATCTACAGCATAATTGCTCGGTATCGTTATATTTCCCTAATGACTCACGGGTCTCTGCCGAATCCGCGCTTACCGGACGATCGAGGAGGTGGCCTTACAGTATTTCGCCGTCGCAGTTGGCTGTAGTGGGTCGTTGTCCCTGAGTGTGCTCGCAGGACACCGGCTTGCCGAACAGTGATTTCCTTTCGGGCCGGCGGGACCTCGGAAGGTACGCTGGTGGGAGGGGGAAGACAATGCGCGCCACCCCGGCCCGGTTGCCAGGTTTCGCGGCAGCGTTGCGCCCCGCGCCGGACCCGGAATCGACCCTCGTATCGACTCCGGTGTCTCGCGGCTGGTCGCGGACTCCCGCCGCCAAATTCAAATCCCAGCCCTCGGGAGCGACGATGCAGCAGGTCCATTTTCGGCGGTCCCGTCCACACCTCGTATGGCCGTATGCTGATGTTCCAAACGACCTTTCTTGGCTGAGGGAAGTCGTCCCGGGGTGATCAATCCCGTTAGATCTCCGCGTTTCTCTCGAGGCGTGGTGGCGGGCCCCTCAGGGGCATCATCCTTGTCGGGGGATGTAGGCGCCTTTTACTCTCTGCTCTGGACTGCTCCTGTTCGTCCCATCGAGGCTGTAACGAGTTTCTCTGCAGTATCGCTTCCTTATTTTCTCGGTACCGCGTATATGTTATTGTTCGTAATACTCACCGGGCCGGTCGCTCAGTCTCCGCTCCTCCCCTTTCGAGGTCGTTCCTCCGTCGTCTGTCCAGGTCCTCTTTTCCCTAAAACAATGGCCGTTCGCCTGGCCTACCACCTCGATCCCGATATAGAGTGCGGGCGAGCTAGCGAAAAGGTCGCTGCTCACCCGCACGAGACACAAAATAATACAGCGCTCTCAGACGCTTCCCGGCTAGGCGCGTCCGCCCTTGTGACGGGCTCAAAAAGACCACGTCACAACATATGGATAAATTGCTCAAAATCCTTCAACCAAGACTTTTGCCTACATTACCAAGATCATCGACAACGTTTTTTAAAAGCAATACTTCATATTATGAAATACACAAAATGGAAGACTACAATAACATTACAAATGGAGAATATTCGTATTTTGGTATCGAACAAGGATTGCAATTTTGCATCAATTCGGAAATCCATCCTAACAATAGTACTATGGAATTACAAGTCAATATTGATGGAATAAAATTATTTAAATCGAGTACAAAATCTATGTGGCCTATTCTAATTAAAATACATTTCAAGCCGGATATTTATAAGCCTTTCGTAGCTGCTGCTTATGTGGGAAATAGCAAACCAAAATCAGTCAATTTGTTTTTGAAGGATTTCATTGCTGAGGTCAATATCCTGCAAAATAGAGGCATAGTTATTAATAACAAATATTATAATATAAATATAAAGTGTTTTATCTGTGACACCGGTCACAACGCAAAATATGGTTGCGAACGATGTCTGGTAGAACGTCAAACTCATCATAAAATTGCCACATATTTAGACATTAATTCTTCTAAAAGAACCGATGAAAGTTTCCGAAATTTTTCACATGTGGAACATCATACAGCAGCATCACCTTTAATATACATACAGCCGTCAGTGAACATGGTCAATGATTTTCTTCTCGACTCGATGCATTTGTGTTATCTAGGAGTCATGAAACGTTTAATTGATGCTTGGATGATATTTGATTTTAAAACGCATCTTAGTAGCAGTCAGAAGAGGATATTATCAAGCCGAATGGAGGAAATAAGATTTCAACAGCCCGACGAATTCCATCGAAAGATTAGAGGTATTGAGCACCATGCTAGATTTAAAGCCATGGATTATCGTTTCATCTTGTTATTCTGCGGACCTATTAAATTAAAAGACATTTTAGATAATTACAAATATAAACATTTTATTACTTCATGTAGCTTGTCGAATGTTATCGATGGAAAATGCAGTTGAATATACAAATTATATAGAAAAATTACTTACCAAGTTTATTGTTCTAGCAGAAAAACTTTATGGTCCACAATTTGTAGGTTTAAATGTCCATAACTTAATGCATATTTCAGATGATGTAAGAAATATGCAGTGCGGGTTGAGTTCGATAAGCGCGTTTCCATTTGAAACTTATTTAGGGCAATTAAAAACTATTATAAGATCACCTCATAATATTATGGCGCAACTGGCTCGAAGGCTACATGAAGTTAATTCATATTTAAACCAATCATGTTCACTTCCATCTGTACATATTTTAAAAGGTATACAATATTTTTAAATATGATTTGAAATGTTATTCAATATAAAGACGTAAAAATTTATAAAAAAAAATAGTTACGAGACTACCAAAAAGAAAAGGTACAGAGGAAGGGATAACAAGCAAAACACTAAAGATATTATTAATTCCTGGTAATAAAAGAAGAGCTTAGAGTTGTAATAAATAAATACCTCAAGTTAGGATACTGTCCGAATAGCTGAAAAACGTCTATGATTATATTTATACCAAAGATGAATAAGCCAAAAAAGGCAGTGAATATAGGTCAATCAATATTTTGCCAACAATAGAAAAAGTTTTAGAGTTAGTGGTAAAGAAGCAAATTGAAGCTTATGTGGAGGCTAATAATTTCATAACAGAGCACCAATCAAGATTCAGAAAACATCACTCATGTGAGGCAGCAATACAAATCATTATGGATGAATGGAATATCTTAATTAGTGAAGGTAGAATTGTAGGGGTAATATTTGGATGGATCTCAAACAAGCGTTTGAGACTAGAGACAGGGACAGATTGCTAACTAGATTGGAAACTAAAGAATATAAAATATATAAAAATGTTTAAGAAAAATAGATCAATTTACGAGAATGTAGTAAGTAAAGTCTTAAATGGAGGTTCAATAAATAACGTTGCAAAAATTTTTGACATTGATTATAGTACCCTATCGGAAGAAACAAAGAAGGCCCGTTCTGTTAAGCTTCGTAGACAGAGACAGATTGCTAAAGGAAATGAATCAGTATGGTCTAAAAAATATAGTGTGGAATGGTTTAAATCATACTTGAAGAATAGAACGCAACATGTCTGTTTCAATGGTGAATGGTCTGACATGATCGTAACAGAGTATGGTGTACCGCAGAAATCGATACTGGATTCATTGCTATTCATATATATATATATATATATATATTAACGATATTGTAAATGTGGGTGGAGATGAATGCAGTATTAAAATGTATGCGGACGACATTTTAATATATGTAGATAAAACGAGCAGCAAAAAATTAGAGAGAAAATTGAATGAAGCGTTTGCAATCGTCGAAAAATGGATAATTGTTAAGAAAAATTAAAAATGAATGCGGAAAAAACAATATTTATGATAGTTAGAAATGTAAGAAAAGAACTAAAGGGAAATATTAAATTGAGATGCATAGATGGAATAAAAATTGAACAAGTAAAAAAAATGAAGTATTTAGAAATAATTATAGATAATAGATAATAAATTAGGATTTAGGAAACATGGTGATTTCTTAGTTAAAAAGAAAAGTAAAAAAGTAAGTTTTTTAAATAAAATAGATTACTCGATGTCAATATATAGTAAATGTAAAAGACAATTATTGTTCCACATTCGAATACTGTTACCTTTAATAATAGCTATGGGCAACGCAAATGAAACGCTTACAAATACTACAAAATAGAGCGATGGGAATTATTTTGCAAAGTAGCAGGAATACTCCCGTAGGATATACTGTAAGCACTAAGGTTTATGTCTATTAAGAAAAGGGTTTATTTTAATGTCTGTAAATTTATTTTTAAAATTATTAATAATATGATGCCTAATCAGATGCAAAGTAGGCTGACAATAGTGGGTAAAGACAGTATAAGACAGACGAGACAAGCTGCAAACATAGCGATACAATTTCGTAAAACAAGAAGCGCGCAGAGAAGTGTCTTCTACGATGAAATAAATTTATATAACAAATTTTGCTTGAAGAAATAAAACAATGTGAGAGAATTGAACAATTTAATAGGTTATTAAAAGAATTTATCATAAGATACACTATTAGATAGTGAGATATTTTTGTTGAAAGACTGTAGAAAAACTATATCCTAAAAAAATCATAAAAATGAAAAGGTCAGGCCATGTTCAAAAGAAGGTACTCAAAAATTTAAACCTTTAAAAATTTAAACGATCTAATAATAAATTATCACGAAAAGTAACTGATATGTTATTCAAAGTGCCCGTTCAAAGTGAACATACGTAAAGTGTATATTATCTAAATTTAGTAATAATATATTATCATGAAAAGTAACTGATATGTTATTCAAGGTGCCAGTTCAAAGTGTGAACATACGTAAAGTGTATATTATCTAAATTTAGTAATAATATATTACCATGAAAAGTAACTGTGATATTTTATTCAACGTGCAAGTTCACATTGAACATACATACATATAAGTAAAACTGATTACAATTTGATTCTAGAAAATAAATGCGATATGTTATTCTTAGTGCACAAAATATAATAGTCGTTTATAGAGATTTGATTTGAAATTCATACTAGCCCGTACAATGAAAAATAATTGCTCGTAATTCCAGAGTACCAATTTGTTAATGACTCAGAAAAATAACATGGCGGCCTGCTCTCAAAAAACTATGATGTTTCTCGATGTCCATTTAGAAATACCATAATGTCGAAGCTCTTACAGAATAATTACTACAACATTTGAAGTACGAAAAGTATTACATTAGAAGAAGATTAGTTTTGAATAAGGATTCAACGTATTTTTAAAAGCTCTACACACAACGAAGTGAATATACAAAACTATATACAAATACCTTTTTCTTCTGTGTTTCTGAAGAAAATTGAAAGTCAAATGAAACCTTGCTATTCAAAACCTATTCTTCATGATCGCAAGACACTTTTTTTATTTAAAAGACGTCTGCTAAAATTTTAATAAATAGATATTATTTATGATAGAAATGAAGAATTTGTGCTTTACAGTATATGGATAGTACATGGTTATTTCAAACACTGAACCGATGCATACAACAAAACTTTTCTCTGTCTGTTCAATAAATTACTGATAATGTTAAATCCCAATCGCATATGCCACCTTGCCTAGGTTAATGATGGTCATTAACGGAAAATTTTACTAAAGAAAGATTGGAGATTTTTAATTTATACAATTTTCACAACTCTTATTTCAATTATTTATTCTATCCATCGAAAGTTTTTTGAGAGCAGGCCGCCATGTTATTTTTCTGAGTCATTAACAAATTGGTACTCTGGAATTACGAGCAATTATTTTTCATTGTACGGGCTAGTATGAATTTTAAATCAAATCTCTATAAACGACTATTATATTTTGTGCATTAAGAATAACATCGCACTTATTTTCTAGAATCAAATTGTAATCAGTTTTACTTATATGTATGTATGTTCAATGTGAACTTGCACCTTGAATAAAATATCACAGTTACTTTTCATGGTAATATATTATTACTAAATTTAGATAATATACACTTTACGTATGTTCACACTTTGAACTGGCACCTTGAATAACATATCAGTTACTTTTCATGGTAATATATTATTACTAAATTTAGATAATATACACTTTACGTATGTTCACTTTGAACGGGCACCTTGAATAACATATCAGTTACTTTTCGTGATAATTTATTATTAGATCGTTTAAATTTCGAAAGGTTTAAATTTTTGAGTACCTTCTTTTGAACATGGCCTGACCTTTTCATTTTTATGATTTTTTTAGGATATTAGTTACTTTTTAAAGTACAAATATTGTAACGGCGTGGCCGTTACTAACGCCTCGCGGGCCGATCACCCGCCCGCCACTTGAGGCTATGGCGCCTAAGGCGCCCCTAAACACAAAAACATAAGCGATACACGGGTCACCCTACCCCAGGGGGGCCCCACTACAACCCCCAGAGGCGCCCCACTACGACGCCGGCGTTACCCCCACCACAGCCTCGATGTAGAGTGGGGGAACCGCCGGCAGGGTATATAAGTCATCGACGGATGAGCCGGCACCAGTCCTGTTCCGGACCTCCTAGCCAGGCAACGGGCTTCTCGTTGTTACGCCGGGTTTCTCGGTTTCTGGCCTCCTACCTTTAGTATCGGGCAACGGGTTTCTCGTTGTTACGCCGGGTTTCCCGGTTTCCGGTCTCTTCCTGCTATACACCGGGTGACGGGTTTCTCGTCATTACGCCGGGTTTCCCGGTTTCCGGTCTCTTCCTGCTACACGCCGGGCAACGGGTTTCTCGTTGTTACGCCGGGTTTCCCGGTTTCCGGTCTCTTCCTGCTACACGCCGGGCAACGGGTTTCTCGTTGTTACGCCGGGTTTCCCGGTTTCCGGTCTCTTCCTGCTACACGCCGGGCAACGGGTTTCTCGTTGTTACGCCGGGTTTCCCGGTTTCCGGTCTCTTCCTGCTATACACCGGGTGACGGGTTTCTCGTCGTTACGCCGGGTTTCCCGGTTTCCGGTTTCTTCCTGCTATAAGCTATACGCCTCCGTACACCATATCTCTAAGTTATACCGGGTAATTTGTAAATCTTTTTCGGACACCGCTACAGGCT